ATAACTGCTGCAGCATACGGGCGCCTGGCAAACCTACGGATAGCGTTCCGATACCTCAGTAAGGATTCGTTTAAGACTGTATACCATCTACGTCAGGCCCATACTGGAGTATGCAGCACCAGTTTGGAATCCACACCTAGTCAAGCACGTCAAGAAATTAGAGAAAGTGCAAAGGTTTGCAACAAGACTAGTCCTAGAGCTACGGGGATTGTCCTATCAAGAAAGGTTGAGGGAAATCGGCCTGACGACACTGGAGGACAGGAGGGTCAGGGGAGACATGATAACGACATATAAAATACTTCACGGAATAGACGAGGTGGACAAAGACGGGATGTTCCAGAGATGGGACACAGACACAAGAGGTCACAATTGGAAGCTGAAGACTCAGATGAATCAAAGGGATGTTAGGAAGTATTTCTTCAGTCATAGAGTAGTCAGGCCATGGAATAGCCTAGAAAGTGATGTAGTGGAGGCAGGAACCATACATAGTTTTAAGGCGAGGTATGATAGAGCTCATGGGGCAGGGAGAGAGAGGACCTAGTAGCAATCAGCGAAGAGGCGGGGCCAGGAGCTGTGACTCGACCCCTGCAACCACAAATAGGTGAGTACAAATAGGTGAGTACACACACACACACACACATAGAAAGGAATGATCTTGTCAACAGCAGCCAACATGGTTTCAGGGACAGTAAATCCTGTGTCACAAACCTACTGGAGTTCTATGACAGGGTGACAGCAGTAAGACAAGAGAGAGAGAGGGGTGGGCAGATTGCATTTTGTTGGACTGTAAGAAGGCGTTTGACACAGTCTCACCCAAGAGATTAGTGCAAAAACTGGAGGACCAGACAGGGATAACAGGGAAGGCACTACAATGGATCAGGGAATACTTGTCAGGAAGACAGCAGCGAGTAATGGTACGTGGCGAGGTGTCAGAGTGGGCACCTGTGACCAGCGGGGTCCCACAGGGGTCAGTCCTAGGACCAGTGCTGTTTCTGGTATTTATGAACGACATAACGAAAGAAATAGACTCCGAAGTGTCCCTGTTTGCAGATGGCGTGAGGTTGATGAGAAGAATTCATTCGGTAGAAGACCAGGCAGAACTACAAAGGGATCTGGACAGGTTGCAGACCTGGTCCAGCAATTGGCTCCTGGAGTTCAATCCCACCAAGTGTAAAGTCATGAAGATTGGGGAAGGGCAAAGAAGACAGCAGGCGGAGTACAGTCTAGGGGGGCCAGAGATTACAAACCTCACTCAAGGAAAAAGATCTTGGGATGAGTATAACACCAGGCACATCTCCTGAGGCACACATCAACCAAATAACTGCTGCAGCATATGGGCGCCTAGCAAGCCTCAGAACAGCATTCCGACATCTTAATAAGGAATCGTTCAGGACCCTGTACACTGTGTACGTTAGGCCCATATTGGAGTATGCAACACCAGTTTGAAACCCACACGTAGCCAAGCACGTAAAGAAACTAAAGAAAGTGCAAAGGTTTGCAACAAGACTAGTCCCATAGCTAAGGAGTATGTCCTACGAGGAGAGGTTAAGGGAAATCAACCTGACGACACTGGAGGACAGGAGAGATATGGGGGACATGATAACGACATACAAAATACTGAGAGGAATTGACAAGATGGACAAAGACAGAATGTTCCAGAGATGGGACACAGCAACAAGGGGACACAGTTGGAAGTTGAAGACACAGATGAATCACAGGGATGTTAGGAACTATTTCTTCAGCCACAGAGTAGTCAGGAAGTGGAATAGTTTGGGAAGCGATGTAGTGGAGGCAGGATCCATACATAGCTTTAAGCAGAGGTATGATAAAGCTCACGGTTCAAGGAGAGTGACCTGGTAGCGACCAGTGAAGAGGCGGGGCCAGGAGCTTGGACTCGACCCCTGCAACCACAACTAGGTGAGTACACACACACTTGGTATATATACCCTGTGGCCTTTTACTGCATAGTGAGATGACCTTTTGTAGCTGCGGCCGCCATATTGGGCATGTTGTGGTCACCATGTTGGGCATGCTGGGGTCGCCGTGTGGGCACGCACCCAAGATAAAAACCAAGAATAACCTGAATTAATTCAAATTGTAAATAATGACATAAAAACCAGTTTTTTGTTTCAGTTTTAGCTGAACCTGTGTTGTGAATTTAAACCTAAACCAGGCAACCAAAATCAAACAATAGCGAGTTAAACCAAGAGTGACACAATCACGAGTCAAACCTACGGCAAACTTAAACCAAAATGAACGTAACTGAATTTGACTCAACGAACTTGAGCCCTAACTTAATCAAGTTAAAGACATAAGGCATAACTTAACGCTAAACCAATACCATGCAAAACTAAACCATAATGGAAACGAACTAATATCCTCAACTGGTCGTTCAATCTACTAAACCATAAACTAACCTGCAATCTACGCGCGGACGTTGGGCTATCTGGGGTTGGCACTAACAACCTGGTCAGTCAGGCCAGGGAACCAGGAGGAATGATCTCTGTCCAGACCGCTTGGCCGGTGACTCCTGAAACCGTCTACAGGTAATCAACAGGTAACCTTCAGGTAACCTACAAGTAATCTACAGGTAACCTACAAGTAACCTACAGGAAACCTACAGGTAACCTACAAGTAACCTACAGGTAACCTACAAGTAATCAACAGGTAACCTACAAGTAATCAACAGGTAACCTACAAGTAATCTACAGGTAACCTACAAGTAATCTACAGGTAACCAACAGGTAACCTACAAGTAATCCACAGGTAGCCAACAGGTAACCTACAAGTAACCTACAAGTAATCTACAGGTAATCTACAGGTAACCTACAGGTAACCTACAAGTAATCTACAGGTAACCTGCAGGTAACCTACAGATAACCTACAGGTAATCTACAGGTAACCTTCAGGTAAACCTGAATACTTACTAACTTTCAACCTACGTTGACCAATAAACTCAACTTTATCAAGCTTCCTTCACAGACGGACATTATGACTGTATTTCAGTGGGTTGAGGATCATCGTCAAGTCACAGTACTGACAACTTTTTTTATACTTCGTTGTCTCAAAGTGGAGGTCTTATACTTTCAACCTCCAGGACTCGAGTCCGATCAATCAGTTTCCCTGACTTCCTTTACCAGTGTTACTTTGCTCACTCTCCAACAGTAAATGAAATCCTAAAATAAAAAAAAAAACTTAGTCTCCATTCACTCTCCTAAAACACTCTTGCTCACCTGCTGGATGATCAAGCCCCTAGCATGTAAAAACCTCACTCCAACCCTTCCTTTTACTATTGCACCATGGTTTTATTTATTCTTTTTCCATGGCGTTCTGAATCTTCTTTTAATAGTAAGTGGGTACAGTGTACTACAATAGTGGTGAGCTCCAGTCTTATGGCTGGAATCACCGTACCCCAGCCATCGGGGCTGGAATCACCAGAGCTGAGTTATATCCCCAAAATCACCAGATACTAATCATGGGTGTCTAAAATGACACCTACGTATAGATCAGGACATCTATTAAAGGAAACGTTTCGCCACGAGTGGCGAAACGTTTCCTCTAATAAACGTCCTGATCTGCACATAAGTGTCCTTTCCCACATCTTGGTATCACCATGCCATTTTTTACTAACCATAGGGCCATTAAGGTACCTCCTCTAAAACACCAAGGAACCACTGAACGGGTCAGGATGCAGTTCCCGACAATGAAACTGTCATCATGCCGGAGAAAATTTATATAAAATACCAACACAATGAGCAGCAGACACACACACACACACACACACATGCGTGTAATGCAATCCTTTATTGACGACGTTTCGCTCACGCATCATCGAGTCAAGAACAGCTGAGCCAAGTCACCAAACTACGTTTTAGAAAACAGACAAGTTGAAAGTTACTTTCTTCAAGATTAATGTGCTGAACACATCGATTCCAGGCTGAGGGACTGATTACCTTAAATTACTCCTCTTTTTCCATCGTTCTTCCATGTATTGGATTGATGAAGCCACTGTGTGGCAACACGTTTCCTAAATAAAGATTTTCAAACGCTGCACAAGCGTCTCAAACTACCACTAAGAAAATGGGAAACTCAAATATGTCCGAGTGTAGTGAGAATCAGTTGGCGTCAGCCCAGGTGGCATCCAGCCATTGCTAACCCACTAACTCATTGAATTGCAAATCTAATCTGTACCAAATGCAACAGGATTAATGATGAAGTTATCACACGACACCGTAATGAAATTTCATGACGATCAGGGCAGTAGTTGCAATGGAAATGCAAATGGTCATGCACCAGATTTAGTTACAAAGTGGGAAGAAACTATCGCAGCTACGATCTCAAGAGTTGTACAGATTGGATGATATTTTTTTTAACGCTGACAGTAATAAAAATAAAAGCGTTTGAGAATGGTTAATTAATAACTGTCTAGAAATAATAATGTGTTTTGGACTCTTTGTGATTAGTTAAATCTGGCACATTAAGTTTGTTACGCCAATAACTCGCACATAGGAGAAAGAAGCTTATGACGGCGTTTCGGTCTTAGACCATTAACTAATCACACTTCGTCGTCATTAGTTTCTCTTATGTGAGGGTTTTTTGTGTTATTGTGCCTTTTTCTTTAATTTTGTTAGTTTATTAGGCTGAGAACCTAACGAATACACTAGGATCCTCAAGGCAGCATGCACCCTGACCACCACCTGGCAAGAACACATTAATCCCACAAAAGGAATATAAGTTAAATCTCAGCGAATATACACAAGGAGATACGTACCTCACGTTGTAAATACCTGTCTTTGTAATAAATTTGCCTGGAGTGATCTTGTGATATCAAGGCCACAACTTTTGTCATAACAAACAATAAATTCTTAGCAAAAGTTCCGAGGAGCCATTGAGCAGGTCATCATATAGCCAAGACTAGTGTCAGGGAATTATCTCTGGCGAATTAGCTAGGAACAACAAATTCATTAGCCCAAGAGGATGAGATGAGGTGGTGTCCCTACCTGCAGGTGGTGTGGACGATGGTCAGGCAGGTGACGTCCTGTCTCCCACTAAGACTCGCTTCTGCCTACTCGGGGTCGCTCGTATCTAAGGGAGGAACACAAAAATTTGAGGCACAACGGAGGTAAATCATGATGTCGGGTGCAAAGTGTAGCAAAATGTAATGTTGAATGGAGGGAAGGAGGGAGGGTAGGGAGAGAGAGAGGGAGGAGGGAGAGAGGGAGGGGAAAGAGAGATGATGAAAGGGAGGGGAGAGAGAGAGACAGAGACAGGTAACAACTCTTAGCTTGTCAATAAGCTAGGGATCCTTACCTAAGCTTGTCAAAACCCTGTGTAAAAAAAAAAGTACAGACATGCAGACAGAGAGAGAGAGAGACAGAGATATTAATAAAACATTAACCACTGCATAGCAATATCCTCTGCGAAGGGGATCAGTAAAGGTAGGAATAAAGTCATCATAACAGAATGCAGTATACGGAAAATCCGAAAGCAAATATCAGTAAAGTCTTCCATCTGGCAACAAAAATTACGTGATGGCCAATGGTGATAAATTCCAACTGCTAAGATATGGAGGGAATGAATAACACATAAGAAGCACTGAAGGAGAGAAATATGTAAACAAGGGAATAATGATGTTAGAAAACTAATCATCTAGCGAATATAATAAGGCAAATGCCACAAATGCCAGACATAATGGGAGGGTGGATAATGACATATTTCCAAACAAGAGAAATAACGCCACTGGAAACACTATTCTCTTCACTTGTTCCGTATTGATGGCCACGTTCAATGCAGGAGAGGTATCAGAGCTGGAATGCGCACAGAGACCGTTTGCAGCCACCTCAGTGCCATTAAAGTATTTAAAGTACTAGGAACACCTAAAAGAATTGGAGATGTACTTTCTGGAGCTAAGAAAAGATGCATCATAATATATACAAAGAAGGTACTTGGAGGCTTAGTCCTAAATGTACCCACCACCATCACAACGTACTGGAGCGAGAGATACTGAAGTGTTTAATGGACCCAGTGGGTTGCCACAGACATAGTAAAAGAGCAAATGTTGAAATTTTCGAGAAGAAACTGGATCAGTACCTTCGTCAAGTGTCAGTTCAACAAGGCATGATGGATATGTGGGTCAGAGGGGCCCCCAACAGCAATAGCCTGGTTGAATAAGCAATCAACAGAAAAATCTGACCCCATGATAGGCCCCTGCCACACAACCCACACCCTCAACCCTACCATGAAGCCACACCCACGCCACACAACCCACACCCTGAGCACTACCATGAAGCCATACACACGCCACACAACCCACTTCTTCACCGCGACCATGATGCCACCCACGCCACACAACCCACTCCCTCACCCCCATGACGCCAACCACACCACACAACCCACTCCCTCACCACCACCATAGTGCCACCCACACCACACAAACCATACACTATGCAAGAGAAAGATGCAAATAGGGAAACTTGGGAGCAATAAAAGAAAAAAAATGCAAACACGAACTACCCAAGACATGTAAAAATAACTAAAAGAGGGAACTCTTTCGTGTTGGAGAGGACTGCCTGTATTTTCAACTGGGATATTCAACATGTCACTTGGGATACGTAAATGTTAGGATGGAAGGTGCTCAGAGTTCCAAGTGAAACAAAACGTCGCCAGGAGCACGAATACACGAATACGTGGAAAGTAGAAACTACTTTTTCTTTAGTATGGAGAAAGAGGAGTTGAAAGAAACACAAAGAAATAATATGGCACAGGATAGACACACAAAACGAGATCCATAAAACTGGATAATGGTTAAGGCAATGTGAACGATTTTCTGTCTCTTGGGGCGGGAAAATGTGTCGCAGGATCTAATCCCGGCTGGCTGCAGTTTGGTTAATGTTTCAGCACTACTTGTTTCGTGGTTTCACTAATACACACACACAGGCGGGGCCAGGAGCTGAGTATCAACCCCTGCAACCACAATTAGGCGAGTACACACACACACACACACACACACACGGAAAGGTACCACCTCTGGAACTGTCCTGGGGACCCTCATCCTCAGAGAAGAGAATAAACTTGCTTCAGGGAAAACTCAAGGTTCTCACAGAAGCTGTTTGAATATTCTCTCCTACCACCCCTATATTTCATTTTCTATGTAAACTATGTAGAGTTGTGCAAATTGGATGAAATCATTTTTTAACGCTTACAGTAACAAGAATAAAAGCGTCTGAGAATGGTTAATAACTGTTCAGAAATAATAATGTGTTTTGGACTCTGTGTTGCTATTTAAATCTGTCACATTAAGTAAGTTTGATACACAAATAACTAGGGCACTGGGACCCTCATCCTCAGAGAAGACAATAATGTACGTACTTCAGGGAAAACTCAAAGTTCTCCCCGGAGCTATTTGAATATTTTTTTCTCCTACCACCCCGTATATTCTAGATTCTATGTGACCTTCATAAATAGAATACACCGACAAAAAATAACATGAATACATTGGTACATTTTATCAAAGATTATGAATCTCCTCCAGCTACTCCGAGCCGGACGCGAACCAAGTTCGCAGCAAGCATTTCCCATCTGGATGTCCACTTTGAGGCGCTGGAACGTGAAAGTGGCCGTTCTCGAGTCCCTGGTGGTGTTAATGAGTCTGGAACCCAGTTCTTTAATTAAGGAAGCGTGTGGCGGTTTTTCCCCTTGATCCCAAGGTCTCTGATCCCACAGGGACAAATTGATACTGTTGGCTGTCTCTGCACTTGCCGATCTTGTACTCCTCCCTGTGGTCAGTAGCTCCTCCCTGTCGCCCGACACTGTGATGGATGTAGGTGTCAGCCAGCGTCGACACGCAGGTATAGTCCCATGCTAAGAGCTTGCCATTATTCCAAGGTGTTGATTGCTAGTGATCGGGGCTCTCTCTCAGCTGGGCATCCAGCTGTAGCAAGGCTTCTTTTTATGATGTTGATTTCATTGTGTCTTGCATGCCAACCCTTCGTTTTGGAGCAGTTAAGGCCATGTAGACCATATTGGTCGGCTTGCGCATCGCCGCATAATATCGTAATAGTAAATATTCTTCATGTATGAATTGGAGCAGCAATACAGAGAGTCTTAGGATCAAGTCATGTACCCATTGCCGAAATGGGAAATGTTTGGAGGTAGTCCCTAGAGTGACATGCACTCACAGCTTGGAGACAGGCAGTCTCCCTGTTTGATGTTACATCCTTAACCATACCCCCGGCCGGGATTGAACCCGCGGTCATAGAGTCTCAAAACTCCAGCCCGTCGCGTTGCCACTAGACCAGCTAGCCACAATAAGATTCATCCAACTAGGTATATTTCTACACCATAGGAAGGTTAGCACAGGCACCTCTGTGACCACAAATGCAAGTTTTTACAGACGAATCTCCAGCTAGCGTGGCCGTGACGAACTCTAGCTCAAGTCCCTTCACTGCCGTCAACGTGACTCAAGAAATCGTAATGACACGATTGCAAACAAACCGCGGGTTCAATCCCGGCCGGGAGTATGGTTTGTTTGCAATCGTGTCATTACGATTTCTTGAGTCATGTTACATCCTTAAGCATGTTGGTAAGCACCTTTTCAGCGATGTGGCCATCTCAACTTGATTATAAGCCAGTGTTGCACTAGGTTTAGGTGCTTACCTATTCATTGATGGCACTGGCGTAGCTAGGGTCCTGTATTCCTGCTGAGTCACTGAGGTTGTCTGAAGAATTTGTTTTGACTCGTTTGATGCTATGGAAGAGGATAGGAAAATTGGTAGGGCAATATGGGAGGATTTGCATACTCCTGGCCTCCCAAACCTGATTGGAAGTGAGGCTTGCAACCATTGTTCATTCAAGGGAAAGATTCAATACACTCTCTAGCTGAAGGCTGGGGAACATCTCAGGAAGTAGGTAAGTTTTGGGATGGACAGGCACCTGGTAAGTAGGTAGAAGGTATCATGTGTATCAGTGTTTTTCATCCTGCCTTCCATCGTCCTGAGGTTTGAGATTTTCTTTTCTAGGATCATATCAATTGCAATGGGCCCAAGAGGAGCACCAAGGAGAGTGCTGTTGACTGGAACAATGGCTCGTGCTCCTGGTAACACAGCACTAATATTCTGGATCTGTAGATTGGTAGAAACTATTTCACATTTGGTGGTGTTTAAAGATAGGCCCAGGCTTCTTCCCATGTCTTCAATTTTTCTGTCCTCTAGGAGAGATTTTTCAGTGCTAGCTAGGGCACCATCATTCATGAACCAGATATTGAGCTCACTGGAGAGTGCTTCTGTGACCTCCTTGATGACCAGACAGAATAGAAAGGGGGCGAGTGTCCCCCTGTTGTACACCCTCACACTAGTCAATTTCATAGTACCCAAACAATAGTTTAGAAGTCACACTATAACACAGTTGTATAAAGGGATAGAGGGAAGTGTCTAGAAACTGCATGGAAAAGCAGCATCCCTTCTGATTGAGTTGAAAGTGTTGGCAAAGTCCAATTTGAACAAGGCTTTTTCATCTGACATGTTGATATATACTCGTGCTGCGTGGGCAGCTGCTTCACAGCCTTGTTGAACACCAAAACCGAGCTGAGTTGGTTTCAACATTGCAGCAGCCTCTTGACTCACCCTTCTTACTGCGGCCTTGGCGACTAGGCGCCGAAGTGTTGCCCACTGCAATGGACCCGATTCCTTAATCCTTTTTCCGGAAGGCATATAGTGAGGCACCAAAGAAGAGGGGTCTAATAGCCTCCGGGACACTGCCAGCCAGGCACACATTTGAAATTTGGTGAGTTCAAACAGCAACCTCTCTGAAATATCACCAAGTGCTGGAGAGAGCATTTGTTTTAAGTGCTGTGGCCTTAAACCGGTGAAACCTCCGGCTGAACCCTGTGGAAATGACATAGCAGCTTTATACACATCAGCGTCCTGTAGGGTTAAATGTTTCATCTGCTGCAATGTCAGGGAGGTCAGTGTTGGTACTGGGAGCCCTGGGTGGCTGTTTGTCCTTCAGAGCTTGTGCAGTAATGACATCCTTATGAGCGATGGTACCCTCACTGGTTATAAGCCTCAGTGCTCCAATAGTATTACCCT